CTTACCAAGGGTCAAGGATCGATATACACTTAGCAGAAAAACTCTGCGTACAGAAAGTAAATTTTGTTTCAACAATAAAAAAATTATTAAATAAATAGATTTTTTAAATCAGTTTTATTTTTTATTTGTACTTTAATTCGTTATCTTCATTTTAAGCTAAAACTTATTTCTAACAGATTAGTAGAAAAATTATAATAATTAAAAATATTAAAAATCAGCGTTATCGGTGGCAGAAAAAGTCTGCGTACAAGAGTTTAAAAAACATCGAAATATATTATTTTTTTAAAGATTTAACGTTTTTAGTAACTTGTTGGATAACCTTTCCTTTTTATGACCTCCATAAGTCGTTTTGGTATCGAATTGACCAGTTTCGCAGTCTCATCGTTGATTATTTTGCCCCATTCCGCGTCTCTCATGTTCTTCAGCATTTCTTTAGAGGTTATATTGTATTCACGTACCCAACGCTCCAGTAAATCCTATAAATTTTCTATAGAATTCAAATATGGCGATTATGGTGACGTTTTGATTTGCTTGGGGACATTTTAAAGCAACCAAAACTTTACAACTTCTGCAGTGTGCTTTGGGTCGATATCTTGTTAAAGTAAGTAATTATTCTGTAACCCCAACTTCTCGGCACTGCACTTTAAATTGCATTTTAAAACATTTAAATAATCAACTTTATTCGTTATCGACTCAATAAATTTCATTTTTCCCACTCCATTACTCGCCATACACCCCCGCACTATTACTCCTCCACTACCGTGTGTTATTGTTGGATACAAATCTTCATTATTAAAGGCAGTACCCGGGTTTCGCCATATAATCGTTCAACCTTTAATGCTAAAGAGACAAAATATGCTTTCGTCTGAAAAAATTATGGGTTTCCAAAATTCTGGAGACTTATTTAAATACTCTCTTGCGAATGCTAAACGCTTCATTCTAATAGCTTTGGAGATAAGCGGCTTGCTTCGTGCAAACCAGCCATGTTAGTGGTATTTTTTTAATATTTTGTGTACAGTATCCACGTGAATTTACTTCTGGAATGTCTGGTCAATATATTTATATAACAGAAGTCCAGTTAGACGAGGATTACCTTTCACTGAATTAATAATGCTGCGGGTTTCTCTTCTTGACAGCTTGGATGGACGCCCAAATCGCAACCTCGAGGTCAATAATACTGTTTAGCTGTAGTTGTTTACTACTCTTTAGATAGAAGAATGTGACCGCTTAACGATTTGACCAATTTCACGATACATTTTCCTTTTTTTCCATAGATCAATAATAATACTGCTCTTACTAATAATAATTTTTTCCCTTTATTTGTCATTATAAATTTAATTACTTTTTAATCATTTAATTATAAAATAAGTGCTTGGGATTATGTATAATGACATACCGGTTCAATAAAATATAAAGGACGCCAAAGTTCTACTGTTAAAACTTCGGGAATTCCCCTTTATATGTTTTGTACGCAGACTTTTTCTGCCACCGATAGCGCTGATTTTTTACATTTTTAATTATTATAATTTTTCTACTAATCTGTTAGAAATAAGTTTTAGCTTAAAATGAAGATAACGAATTAAAGTACAAATAAAAAATAAAATTGATTTAAAAAATCTATTTATTTAATAATTTTTTTATTGTTGAAACAAACTTTACTTTCTCTACGCAGAGTTTTTCTGCTAAGTGTATGTATATGGAGCATTTCTTTCATTTGACTAATAGGATTTTGTTAGTTTTTTTATTTTTCCTATATACAAAAAGTATTATTTCCCTTGTAATGTACTGAAAAACCAAATAAAAATTAAAAAAATGTACTTGTTGAATATAACACTTTTATTTAAAATTCAACTAAAATAAGAATTCTCCTTATAGTTATACACATTTCACAATTTGCGTTCTAGTGTTAAAATCGCAGCGGTATCGTTTGACAGCTGTGGTTGAGTTTTCCACGAAACAGCTTTTTACCTCTAATTAAAGATAATAAAACTGTATCTGAAAGACTTTTATGCAAGATTTACCTAAATCTTTCAAACTGTATATCTTTTGCTATATCTTTCAAACAGTTTTTCAACTAACTTTGCTAGAATTGCCTTCCACATTTGTACAGAAATTTTTTTTTGGTTTAATCTGAGCAAAACGTTACAATGTATATACTCATTTTTCTCACTATGCAATAGGATGTCTGTAATTGTGAATGTTTGAGGAGTGCCCTGTATTATGTTTGTTACTAGGCGTTTTCGGTGGCGCGTAAGTGTGGCAAAAAAATCCATGCTGTCCTATATTGGCTAAGCGAAATATTGGCATCACTGCTGCAATCAGTCAAGTGTTATATTTTGGCAGACAGCAAATCTTGCATATATGCACATAATGCAATCAAATGACATTTTGTATAAAAATAAATAAGTAATATAAAATGAAAATTAAAATGAACACAAAATTAAGAGGAATGGTAAAAATGTTGGAAATTTCAAAATAAAACACTAAAATTTTTTATTTTTTCCCCATTTCAAATTTATGAAATTTTTGAATTTTGTTTAAAATTTTGTTCACATATGATTTTTGACATATAATTGCAATATTCGTTGCAGTTTCTAATGTAGTTCACAATAGTTCATTTATTGCGTTGGCAGCACTTTTTTCTTTACTGACCGAAGTGTTTGGCTAGTAAACAACTACTGGGCTGGATAGAGAAAATAGTGTTATTTTGCATATATTTCGCCCAGTACAGTCCAGCAACTTGCTGTTTTTTGACATACTTGCGAGCACCAAAAATCCCTATTAGTAACATTAATATTATCAATATTTTTACTATAAACTTTATAATTAATATATATATATATTACATGAAAAAACCGTCATAAATTTTGTAAAAATATCGAAAAGTTATAATCTAACGAAATGTTGTAAAATAGCTGAGGTGAAATGTGTGTCTATTGGTGGAATAGCTATGTAATACTATGTTACCACTGAAGCTTAATCAATTTATATTAATAAACTTAAAATTTGGTCGTTTCCATTGGCATAAGTTACTTATTGCCAAATTCAATTAATATTATTTTTCTGTGTAATTACATTTGAACCAGCTTTTATGTGTCAGGAAGTTTTTTGAAAGTCCTAGAAGAGCTTCTGTTTGCTTTAATAAACTTCACTTAACACAAACATCATAGAAAAATAAAAATAAATATAAAATTGATATTTTTAATCATTTATATATATACATATATTATATGTATCCATTACATATTCAATTAATAAAAAGAAAGATTTTATTGCATATTTACTTCCTCAGTGCTTTTGTTTACAGTTCAGTTGTTGTTTCTTTATATTTTACATACATATAAAACATATATGACATATATTTGAATTTTGGTAATTTCCCTCGTAGGAAATTTATTTTTAAGGGCTGCATTCGATAATTTTGGCTTAAGGTTTCTTACTTTATTTTCAAGGAAGTTAAAAAGTACGGAAGTTGTTTATATGTATTACATTCTTTATATATAATACAATATACTTTATTGATTAAAGTTATATAGATTTACAATTTAATATTAATAATAATAATAATTACGGCACGGCACGCTTGCTCCTTTGAGCACAACACGAAACACACATTTTGTATTTTTTCCTTTTTTATCTATTTCTTTATACAGGGTTGCCATGATCGAATATACTACAATATGAATAACGAAATTTACTTAGTAAGTTATTCTTTACTTATTCTAAGTTAAAAATCACAAAAGCTTTTTGGACGGTTAATAAAATTTTAAATTAAAATAAACCTAAATTAAATAAACTGCTTTATTAAAAACAATGGAACATACTATAAAATATTTTAAGCTGAGAATTCAAATTGTTTTATATATGTATGTATATGTATAGTTTGATTAACTAAAATAATCAAAACGTTTTTTGTAATTTTATTTTTTTTTATTTTTTATTTTGGCAGCTCTCTCCCTCTCTACATCTATATTAATATTAATATTACATCTCTATATTACATCTACAAAATGATATTAAGGCCGTGTGCGAGTTCGAGTAAATTAAAGTAAAGTAAATTGAAATTTCATAGGAATTTTTTGCACTGCAATTATGTAAATATTTATTTATTTATTTATTGTACTTATTTATTATTTTTGGTTAAAAGTTTTTATTTATTTGTTTAATAAACATTTTATAAAATTTTCACAATGGTAAAACCTAATTTACCTAATTTTTATCTAATTTACTCTACTCAAAATTCTGGTAAATACCAACATTCGATGTCATACCGACATAATTTACTATTTCCATCACTTTACTCGAACTCGCACACGGCCTAATAGATTAAAAACTGAGACTGTTACTATAAGAAAATCGAAGAAAAATAAAAACATAAGAAATAAAATACGGTTATGTTTGTAGTTTGAAGATTTTTGACTCAGTTTTATATAAAAATTGTCTGCTGGTCGATTTAATAGAGTTAGCACATAACTACGTTGAATAGCTAAAATATGCAGACTTCCTGAGACTTGTTACTGTTTAACTCCAGTTTATTATTGTTGTAAGAAAACGGCTTGAGTGAAGTAAGCAACAAGTGCCTCGACGCTTTCAGCCGTAACCGCTTGACTTTTGAAACTATTCAGTTTTGCTGAAACTTTTTAAAGGTTTGGTTGTGAAAGTCATTGCTCATGAACAAGTGAAAATAACGATTTCAAATATTTTTAATAGAATAATATAATAATTTATTCTATATTGTTATAAATTTTAAATATTAATAGCAAGAAAAATAAGTTAAATATAATAGTTTAATGTAGTTAAATGCAAGTATTAATAATAATACAAAAACTGTACACAAAAACGATGGTTGAGTTGTAATTATCCATGCATGAAATAAAACTTACGAAAAATACTGTGATTTCCAAACAACAGGAACAAAACACTAAAATATAAAAACGACAATAACGCACACTATTTAAATCCAGAACGTGATCAAGAAGAACTTTCACGCAACACCCATAATGTCAAAGAAATCGGTTACTAATGATCATTTCCGTTCAAAGTTAAAAATATATGGCAGTGAAGCTCAGCATAATATTACAAAAGCAACAACACCAGCAACAACAGCGCCAGTACCAGTACCAATAACAGACTTAACAGCAGCAGATAATGCACTAACAAACCCAGCATCAGCATCAGTTGTCACATCCGCTAGTTTGACGAAAATAACAAATGCAGCGAGTACTTTATACAAAATGTCATCAGACGACTTAACGAACGATTTAACGAATCCTTCAGCGCCATTAAGCAAATTCAGTTTGAAAGGCAATCACCTTTGTGGCAGCATATTAATTGGTAATTATAATGTAAGTACAGAATTATAAAATTATTTATAATAACGGTTAGTCTAAAAACAATAACAAACATTTGAACTCAATTTATTTGTTTTCTTTCTCTTTTTATCTTTATCTTTATTCTATTATGCAATTCATTATGCGTATATGTGAATGTACACACACACACACACACACACACACATCGTTTGGCGTTTCCATGCGATATACATCAACATCACTGAATTCATCGCAGTATTTGACCCAGTTGGAAGTAAGTGAAAATGAAATGGAAGTCTTGGATTTAACTTCACTAGAACAATTGGAAACGTTAAAGTGCAATCACAACAAATTGGTGGAATTGATGATCAATGGCAGAAACTTAGTCACCGTAAAAGCTGACTATAATTGTACGTATGTATTTATGCAAATATGTTAATGTAATCTCCCCTTAATATATATATACTCACACACATAACACTTCATATATAAATGTATACACTTAGTTACTTGAAACAAAATTTAAGCTAAATTAAAGTCTTTCCTTTATTTGACTTTTACTTTGAGTCATTTTCCAGTTCACTGGGTTCTGCGTAACGCCCTTCTATCGACTGCATAGTAAGTGTCATATATCCATAAGCTAAAACTTTGCGAATTGGTTTTTTAAAATTGATTTTGATTTAAACTAGTAAACGAGTGTTTCTTTACTCGTTGCTTTGTTAAAATGCTTGTAAAGAGGTGTGGAAGAATACACAGAGACTTCGAATGACCAAAATTTATTTTGGAAGGAGTTTTCCGATAACTTCATTAATTTTAAAAATATTTTACTTTATTAAACAGTCATGATCCATGTGTAAAGAGAGAACGACTACGTGCCGGTACACGGTCTGTTTGTTCGATGAAACTAGTCTCAAAAAAGCAAAATGTTTATTATTTAATTTATTTAACTATTGTCTTCTTTCAATTCAATATATCCCTAAAAATGTTAAACGATGTTAAGTTGGGTTGTACTGGCGATCCTAAGTGATCCACTTAGGCCTATACATCCATTGTGTTACTGTACATAAAAAAAAGTCAGACGTTTACAACCACTTTGAATTTTCGCAAAGCTTATAATGCTATTCAATACTTCTATACAGTTGACTAAGATCCTCAAATAAAGAAAGCCCTTAAAGCAGTTGGGGGGTACTTTCATCATCCTCTTCTTAACTGCAACAGATATGGTTGAAAGGGAGAGTCAATCTTCTAGCCTAAACTTCTTACCTAATAAGCATTGGACCTCTGAGTAAGCCTACCACAAGCCTAACATCTTTACGGGGCATTTCAATGAGAAAATTGGATTTCCTTTTAGTGGAACGTGGGCAAATTGTATACAGATACCTATATATCGTTGAGTCTTCCCATGCTGTAGCTGTAAGATTAATTAATTACATTTATTTTTAATTGTTTAATTTCAATATATAAAATAAACAAAAAAATAGTTAACAAATTTTTTGAAACATTTTTTACACTCATCACTCGGAAATGCGATTTTTATGTAATCGAAAACCATTTTTTTGGAATGTAGCCAGAAATTGCACGAAACCAAATCGGGTAAATACGATGGATGAATGTTAAAAAAGATGACTTTTTTGTCAAGTATTTACGTACCATTATAGCTTTGTGCTATATAGAATTATCGTGCAACAAAAACCAATTGCCTGGCTCTCGATATTCCAGTTGAACACTTAAAATTCTGGTCCTGTTTCTTCTCTATAAGATTCGTAAATAAAGTGGGCACATCGAAAGGTATTATGTGTATTTTCGAGGTTTTGATCATTGCAAGCAATTTTTAGCGGCTTTACTCTTTATGTATTTTGAATTTATTAGTAAATTTTCTCGTTATGATGAAGATAGTTGCATGGTCAACTTTTAAGCTTATCAATTAAAAAATAATAATTATTATATTTCTTTCACAAAAAGTAACAAAAGTTAAAAAAAAAATAATATTTTTATTTGGAGGTATGAATCAGAGAACTGCAATTAGTCATAATTTCAACACTCAGAGTATACTCATAAAAAACCAAATATAAATGCCTATAAATGTTTTTCTCACATACTACTTATATGGATTCGCATTCGCTACAGATATGATTCATAAGTATATTCGTTAACGAATATCGGTGCTAATGAATCAGCTTCACGAGAATGCGCACACATTTTTAAGTAGAGTACCATAAATGACAAATGATTCATGAATCATAGCATATACTTAGGTGAGTATGAATATACTCATCGAAAATGAATGACTGGATGACTAGTAGCATTCGTAAAAATTTTGTGAGCGCTGTTGTTTGCTAAGCAAAAAATTTGCGTGTGTTTAGTTTGAAGTTTTTGGTGTGCGTTGTTGTTGTTAGCATTAAATAGTATGTGTGCATTAAGTTAGAGGCTGTTTTAATAGCAAATTATTTGCACTGTAAGTAGGTAAGTTGGAGTGGCGGTCTTTTGTACCAAGAAAGCCCACTTGAGCTCAAATTATGGCTCATTGTGGTATCACAGGAATAACGTTGGTTCGTACATAGATAAGGTGATCAGTATTTGACCAACGACGAAAAAGACAGCGACTCCCCCATTAGATGAAAGTAAAACAACCTGACAGTTCTATAAATCTGGCTAGTTCCCTAATATTGCAGGACGACAGGTCATTCAGATCGACCAGGAAAGGGGTCCAAGATTTTTGCATCACTTTTATGTTGAATGTCGGTAATTATGAGTATCAGTGAGTATGAGTGCTGTCAGCTGTATATATGGATCAGACGAAGTCGAATATACGAAAAAGAGAATCAGAATACATATAAATGAAACACAGTCAATGATTCGAGTGTTGAGTATGTACTCATTGCAGTTCTCTGATAAGTATATAGGTAAAGTATATTTCGCTTTAATAACAGTAGCTAACCGGTGAGTTTCAAGTCCACTGTGGACCAATAAAGTCCAATTTCTATAATAACGGTTCTGCCCTATAGTTTTACTACTCTTATTATCTAATATTGTATTTATTGTAATTGTATTATTGTAATATTGTAATTGTATATAAAATTAATTGTTTTTTTTTACAATTACACTTTATCTTTTAATTTATTTTATAAAAAAATTATTTTTTTTCATTGATATTTTTATATCTTTTTTCAATTATTGTCATTAAATAATATTGCAGGCCTACAAACAATTAGCATTTTCCCGATTCCCGTAAAACTTAAATACTTGGATATTTCATATAATAATTTCACGCAGCTACCAAGCTTCACGGGCTGCTGTCAAAGTCTACACACCATAGAAGCTCACCATAATCAACTTTATACCTTAGCAGAATTTTTATCCGTGTATAAAATAACAGCACTACGCATATTAAATTTAAGCCATAATAACATACGATTTTTGAGTCGCCTTCCGGAGAAAATGTCCACTATAGAACAATGTCTTCTACAGAGCAATGAACTACAAACTCTTCCAGAAAACTTTTTCGCAATAACACAGAAACACCTTCGGATTTTGAATGCGTCCTGCAATAAATTGGGAATGAACTTGCATTTTGAGCAGAATGAGGTACTTCGTTCTCAGCTCGAGGAAGTATATATATCTAATAACAGTTTTAATGAAACTATTTTAAATGTGCTTGTTAATGCTAAAAAACTGCGTGTGCTCCACGCGGCTTATAATAAAATCAGTGAACTTCCAGCAGTCTGTCTTCGTAATTGGGCAGAGTTGGAGATATTGGTGCTGTCAGGAAATTTGTTACAAAACTTACCGGAAATTATTTCTACACTAACAAAGTTAAAGGTACTACGAGTGCACTCAAATTTGTTGCTTTCGACACCTACATTTTCCAAGCTGAGTAGCTTACAGGTATTGGACTTGGCGCATAATCATCTGGATCGTATTAACTTGCTAAGTATAGTGCCAAAGAATTTGAAGTACCTCGATTTGTCTTGTAACTTACAGCTGCAAGTTGATGAACAGCAAGTTAAAGTGTGTCAAAGCCAAAAGCACTGGAGCTTGGTGGATGTCTCAGGTAAGAACCGCTTGTGCCTGCCAACTACGAAATTGGAGTATTACATGGATAATAATATGTTAAAACCACCTTGGAGTTTAGGATTTTCTGAAACACCTGGCAATGTTAAACGATTATTAGTTAGTCAGCTGCGCCTATGTAATTTTAACAAGGATGAAGGTCTTTTTGGAATAATTGAAAGTGATGTATCTAGTGCTGTTGCTAACTCAGTCGCGCAAACGGTGCCAAAAATAATAGATCAGGAACGTGCTGTAAAAGAGGCTATAAATGTGTATATGAAGTTCACGTTGCTGACAGCGTTACAGAAGCTAAACAAAAGTGGTGAGCTTGGCAATATCGGTATTACGATTTGTCATATATCTCGGGAGAACGTGAAAGGTGTCAGAGACTATGTAAGACCCAATAAAACAAAAAAATACATTTTACGAGTAGCTAGTGTCGGTAATATTGGTGCTTATTTAGTCCGTAAGACCACAAATGTTTGTCTGACCAATATGACTGAAAGTCCAGCAGAGTTCGAACAAACGAACTTATTAATGAATGTGCCTAAGCTTAACAATAATAACAGCAATAATAACAATAATAATAATAAGAACAACTATCACTATCAGAAAAACTCAAATAAATTATTGCACAATTTGCCAGATCCGAAAATCACTGAAGTTCCACTAAGTAACGAAGATGAATATTTGGTTATTTGTAACGGAAACACTTGGGCCAAAATGGACATAAATCGTGTCGCACGTGAAATACGTAAAGAGGAAAATATTTTACTAGCTGCGAAACGTGTTCAAGATATAGCTCAAAGTTTTGGTGCCAATGCAAATTTAAGCGTGATAGTTTTAAGATTCCGAAATATTGGCACCGATGTGGATTACTTAATTAAGGAACTCAAACAAACCGTTCGCAAGAAACCAATTAGCACAATTGCCGCAGCCGCTGCATTGCTACCCAACGTTTGTAAACGTACATGTTGTGAACGTAATAATATCTGCCGTCATCGCATAATTGAACGACCTGCAACCCGCAGTGAGCGCTCTTCTCCAAGCGGTCAAAGTGATCAAGTCCTAAGTCCAATAAATAAAGGTGAAGATTATATATTGGCACATGCGCATGTACTTGAGGAGGAAAATGAAATGGAAGTTCTTGATGAAACAGATTCTGTTCTGTCAGAGGAGCAATTTAAATGTTGGGAATATATGTTGGAGCAAAATACACAATTACTTTTTGATAAAGAACTGAACACAATCTCAAAATCATTAACCAAAAATCAAACCAATGAACGAAAATCGAATTTGATGAACAATGTTAAAAGTAAATTTATATCCACAAGCTCACCGCAATTAATAAATAGTGAAGTTAAGAAACGGTCAGTATCACCAGGACAACTGCATCAGGAACAGCAATCACAACAACAAAACCAGCAGCAGCAAATGTCATTTCTTTCGAAACATTTTGGCAGCAGTCGATCCTTTCAAGCAGTCACATCCAGTGTCGCGTATAATTTTTTTGAATCAAAGAGTCGCAATTCTGTTACTGCTTCGCCCTACACTAAAATCAATGGTTGTGGTCCACATGCAGCCTATTTCGGTTCCTTGCAACGTTTAATGCCATACAATTTGGAATATGATTTTGCGGTAACTCAAGAACGTTCCGCACTAAATGAAGATAATGACGAAGACTACAATGTTCATGACAGCAGAATGCGAAAATATTGGGGTGTTGCAACAACGGAGTTATAATATTTATGTGTACTAAATTTATAATATTATTTATTTAAAAAGCAACAATAAAGGTTATATATTTACAATTTAATTATTATATGGTATTTTCAAGAACTCTTCAACTCTACGTACCTAGCTATTATATTTTCATAAATCTTTTTTGGGAATGACTTAGATTTCATAGATATGCTCATTTGATAACATATTTTAGTACAGACAGATATATAGTATAATACAGTTAATTTTCGAGATATCGGGCTTAGAATTGAAAATTTGTACCTAAAAAGCTCTAACCATAAGTAGACACGTCATTAGTGTATCTACCTGTTATTACTCCTTGTTTTTGTAATCGAAGTTAAATTGCGTGTACTAGTTTGCGTTAGATGGCGTGATTAATTTTTTTTTGTTGCCTCGAGGTATTTCAAGGAGTAAGCTTTGTCGGCATATAACGTCAAGAAAAAAGTTGCTCAAAACATTAGACTCTTTGTTGTCAATTCGACATAGACATATTAAATTGCATGTAACCTAAACTTACGAATAAAAACTTGTTATTTCCTATTAACACTATTTGATATATCACATAACTTTATAGAGTTAACCAATTTTGTTAAAGCTAATTCTTTAGATACGTAATCATAAGGTTGTGCTGAAGATAATCCTTGGGTGCTATTTAAAACATGTTATTTTATTATCATAGTGCAAATATTTGTTTTAATTTCGTAAAAATCACTTATATTCATTAGCTGCAGTTTGTAAACATTGTATTTACTAAGATGAGCTGTGTACCCAAAACCTGAAAGGAACCAAAGGTTGTTTTTCTGGAGAAGTCAAGCAAATGGAACTACTTATCCCTTTCGTACTATAAACTATAGCAAAAGAACTAAACTTATATGTCAAGGATGAGGTAAGCCTTAGTACGCTCTATTAACATGCTAACACATATACACAAGATTAGTTGATACACTGTAGTTATACAATAGAACTATACGTTGATTGCTAGCTTAATAGTCTTTCATTGACCACTGAGCTGCTGGGGTTTAATAAATAAAACAACATATTTTAAGTTACTCGAAAAACTCAACTAATAGCTGGTATATGTGAAACAAATGCTCTCCGCTTCAACCTTATAACTGTCCTCGAATTTATTTTAAACCTTTGTCAGGAGGGATTGAAGGCTAATTTTGTTGCAATTAAAATATCAACTCCAAACGTTAAACATAAACTCAAAACTCTGTAGTATAAATATATAAAAATCCTTTAAAGTCAAACTGTAAGTACAGATTATACACATTCAAAAATAACATTCGGGAAAGAATTCTGACTAATTGTAAAATCATAAGAATGATGCAAATGTTTTACACTAAAATGCACCACTTATGACGTCCACAAATTGGTTGATTAGATAGTACAAGGCATACCTTGGCCCGTGAGTCCAATTGTTAATTTTTCTAGCCATCAGAGATTATACATATAATTAAAAAACGGTGCTCTGCTTCCAAAAAGCAGTATAAGCAAGGTAGAAACTGGAAAATAATATTGGAAAATCCTTCTACTGACTGGTGGTAGGTGTGATAATAAATATGAAAGATTTTCCTCTCAAAAGGTCAGAAACTAGTGATAAAAGTTTATATAGAGATATAAAACATTTATCGTAATTTACATTTTTCCTTTTTTGTTTTTCGTTTCGTAATTTTTTAAATTTATTTTTTATTAATTTTTTTTAATATTTTTTTTCAAATTTTTTTTTAAAATTTTTTTCTTGCTTCATTTTATTTTTATTTTTCATTTTATTTTTCTTTTTTACTGTTTTTCATTTTTTTCTTTTTTTTTTTGATTTTCATGTAGGTGCGCTACATAGCTTCAGAAAGCTCTTTGCAGTTAGTGTTCAATTTTAATCATTATATATATTTAGCTTAGTTATCTAGATATTGGATTAACTAATATAAATTTTTACATTGCACTCAATTCATACCACATCAGTCCATTATTTGAACTCAAGTGGACTTTAGTGTACAAGACCGTTACTTCAACCCAACCTAATTTTACCTATAGGTCATTCTTCTACAAATTAGACACCTTTTTGACCGCATCATCTCCGATTTGGCTGAAATTTTTTTATGTGCTGATTTACCATCTTCATTCTTCTTATTTTAAAAGTTAAAAAATAGAGAAAGATATTAATGCAACATATTTAAATATAATCACATTTCTCTAAGATCTAGTATATTCATAAAAAAGGTACTCAGTAGAACCAATAACAAACCTAAGCATCACATTATTTTTAGCCCCTAATATTTTTAACTATTTTGATTCGTCAACTGTTAAATATTTTTTTCTTCTGATTTTTGTTTGTTCTAGCCATCCGTTATCCTATGCAGGATATCATCTGAAACTTGCCTTAATTTTCTGGAAGTTTCTTTTGGACGCAATTTTAAGTGCAGGCGATTGAAACATTGTAAGTCAAAGTCGTTAATGCATTTTATTTTTTCCAACTTTTGCCATTATTTAAATGTTCTTACTTGTTCATGGGCTTTAAAAACAGAAACTGAAAACTTGTCAAATTTACTTAACTGTATTATATTATACTATATAAATTTATACCAAATTTGATGCCAGTATCTTTTTAAGATAGGGGTACTTAAATACTCCATATCGAATTCTTTACAGTTTATTTCTTAAAACATTTCTGACCTGTGCAGAGTATTTTTATAACTGTAGCGGAATAACACCTCATCAAAGAAGGTAGGTGTAGGTGTTATGTAGGTAGCTCAGCTAGTGTGGAACTTATTAATTATTTAATTAATCAATATGAGAAAAAAGTTCATAAAATGGTTTAATTATGTTAAAATTAGTAATTTAACAATACATATAATGCCGAACTAATTTAAAATGTTTTATTTTTATGAAGAATTTGATATATTCATTATAGAAATATTGAATATATAGTCTGTCTATATTGCAAGAAACGTCTGTCTAGATGATGTTGCTATTATTGCAAGAAATGAAAGAGAACTATCATCTCAATGCAATTAAATGAAAAAACTAAAAATATTGGTCTGAAATTAAAATAAAATATCTGAAGTAAATGCACGAAGCACAGCGATTGTTGAATATAATTATGAAATTCTGAACAACTTTACCGACCTTGGTGTTCTGATTGATAAAAATAACGAAACGAGAATGGCTATAAATGTGAGACTACAAGCGGCAAATAAATGCTTCTATATATATACATACCTAATGAAATCTCTCTCTCTCTCTTTCTGCAGGCTATTATCTAAACAAACTAAATTTCGAATATATACGATAATAAGACCGATATCAACTTATGGCTCGGAGTCCTGGACAATGACAAGGGTGGTCGAAGAAGCGCTAAAAAATTTAAAAAAAAAAAGTTTGGCCCATTCGAATAGGGCCAAGTTTATGGCCCTATTCGAATGGACGACAAGACATTCAGAAGACGAACAAACAATGAAATTAATGACCTGCTTAAAAATAAAAACATAGTAAGATTTGTCAAAGCACAAAGACTATGGGCAGCTCACGTTAAAAAAACCGATGACAACAATTCATAGAGGCAGACCGAAGCTGAGATAAAAAACGTGCACGAGGACGACTGAAAGCTCGGAGTTCCCAATTGGAAAATAACTACAGAAGATCAAAACAGACGGAGGCAGGTTGTGAAAGATGGAGGCCAAGGTTCACACTGGATTGTAGTGCCAAATAAGAAGAATATAGAAATAAAAAGTAAACATAATTGTGTCATGAGTTGGATAAAATTGATTTATTGGTATTATGGAGCGTATGAGTGACGTATAGGATGCCTGATAAATTAATTTTTTTTATTAATTCTAAAAGTAATGCTACATTAAAAACGTTTTTTTTTTAAGTAGAATTTATTGTTTAATCCGAATCTAAACTAGAAAAGAAAAATTTATATGACACATTCCTCTTTTTTTTTTTACTGATAAATCGTGTGTATATTTTTGGTGAGATATTAAGGATAAATTATTTTTTTAAATGCAATTCTAAGGACAATGTCATCCTGAAATTTTTTGCTTTTATAAAGAATTTTATTGTTAATCGAAATCAAAAATATTATATAAAAATATTTGTAGTATATTCTTAAAAAATTCATTCAATGGAAATAGAGAACGCATGTGCTTGATATGTTTTGCGGAAGAAAAAAATAATGCCATCCTAAAAACTTTATTTGTCAGTAAAATTTAAAACTAACAGACCGATTCTGTGCACTTTATAAACTTGTCAAACGTTGACACTTGTCAAAATTGACTGCTATAAAGGTTTTGGTATTCTGTGACATTCTTTTCCTTGTTAGTTGTCAATACGTCAAATGCTGTTGACAACTATAAAAAATATGCTCTTTACAAGCACCTTTTATTATATGCATGCATGACAAATATTCTTAACTAAAATATACGCTCTTTACAAACATATTTTTTATTGTTATTTGAAATGCTGTTGAAAACTACAAAAAATATGCTCTTTACAAGCACCTTTTATTATATGCATGCATGATAAATATTCTTAACTAAAATATACGCTCCTTACAAGCATTTTTTTTATTGTTATTTGAAATGCTGTTGAAAACTATATAAAATATGCTCTTTACAA